GAAAAAATAATCATATTGTAAATAAAAACGATCTGCTACAAATCTAGTTTTTAACTGTAGATGTATAATAAAAACGATTTGCTACAAACCTAGTTTTTAACTGTAGATGTATAATAAAAACGATTTGCTACAAACCTAGTTTTTAACTGTACATGTATAATAAAAACGATTTGCTACAAACTTAGTTTTTAACTGTACATGTATAAATAAAAACGATTTGCTACAAACTAGTTTTTAACTGTACATGTATAATAAAAACGATTTGCTACAAACCTAGTTTTTAACTGTACATGTATAATAAAAACGATTTGCTACAAACCTAGTTTTTAACTTTACATGTATAATAAAAACGATTTGCTACAAACCTAGTTTTTAACTGTACATGTATAATGTTTTTCATGTAATTTTCATAAAAAAATTAAACAGGGAAGTAGCAAACTGGACAAAATATCTGAACATTGTGTAAAAATATATAAAGTTATCTTAAACTTGAGTTTTCATCACATCTATTTCAATACTGGATGACACGTTCTGAAGGATAAGACTTTTCAAAAAGACTAATTTACTGTAGTAATTCAGATGAAGAAGGCTCAGTAATATGTCTAGGCTAGTGAGGTGTCAAGCCCATTTTTAAAGCTCAAATTAGTCTAAACAAAGGGTGTGTGACATTCGTATTATTTTTTTTTGCTAGCTTTAAGTTTTATCACAATTAACAGAAAAAGTATGTTTCATTATGAGATCTTGAAGGATGTTGTATTTATATTTTTTCTCTTAACATTCTTAACAGGCAGTTTACCAGATGCCAACTGAGAGTGATGACTCATCAAAAAGTGTAGCTCTAGCACTGCAGAGAGTGTTTTACGAACTCCAGTTTTCAGACAAGCCTGTAGGGACAAAAAAGCTCACAAAGTCATTTGGGTAGGAATAGAAGAGATGAATTTTCTGAAACTTAAACATTCAACAGTTTTACTTTAACGTTCACAAGAGAAATTGAAAGTGATTTAAAATTATTATAGATTTAATGATGTAAAAGTCTATAAATTTGTTTCTACATCAGTGTTAAAAAAGTGGACTGATTATTATTGCAGGTGGGAAACGTTGGACTCTTTCATGCAACATGATGTCCAGGAACTTTGTCGAGTGGTAAGTCTAAAGGACAGGAAAATTGAAATGTTTACTTGTGTAGAGTTAGTTCCTTCAGAACCTGAAATAAGATCTGAATTTGAGTATTTCAGCTGCAGATTTACTTCTATAACATTAAAAACGAGTTGACTGATGTTGCTTGTGTGTTGATCTTCCAAATGAAGCTACTACCCATAATTATTATCATATATTTTTAGTTTAAAAAGTGATATTGGGTTAAGTATAACTTCTTATGATATATGGAGAAGTTCTGACAACTGTAACATGATTATTAATACACTTTGTTTACAGTATCTTGATTGTATTACCACAAAATGGTTAGGTTTGCTAGTTTGTCATTGTTAATTACAAAGCTACACAATGGGCTGTACCCACCACAGGTATCAAAACCCAGTTTTTAGTGTTACAAGCTTTCAAACTTACCATAGAGGATGCTAGGTAATGTACAAGGAGAAAACTGTAATGTCAGTTTCTATATGTTTATACAGTGTTTGAATCTTTACATGCCCCATGTAGCAATTTTAAAATATTAATGTCCTCTGGACTTTCCATTATATTGATTTTTTCCTTCCCAGTTGAATTCATAAAATGAATCGTGAGACTTAGTAGAAACTTGTCGAACAAAGTACTAAATCTTTCAAATATGCTGTTGGCCATGAGGAACGGTTTAACATACATCACTCAAAAAGATTGAACTAGATTTTAAAAAGACTTAGAATCAAGCACTTTCAAAAATAGTTATTTGAAACCTCCTCAAATATACTGTCACTAAGATTTAGTATATATATATTTGTTAATTATTTCACCATGAAAACCTTTTTTCTAATTTACCTGTTAAAATTATCACAGTTCTGTGTGAGAACTGGTATGATAGACAAGACAGTAATCGTGTAAAATTGTGTACTCTCGGTCAGTTACCATAAAAAATGTGGAAGGGTGGCTGACCTTATTATGAGAATATATATAAAGTTTGAGTAATATTGAGAAACTAGGTTCTCCTAACCATTAGATTCAAAGTTGTTTGGTTAATAATAGTTTCTTTAAGGCCTACAATCTAGGCTTAGATTGGTAAGAGACGCATACCAATAAATACAATTAAAATAGCAGAAATATGTCTATTTTAGGAAAACTTTTAAGTTTTTGAGTAGGTATTAACAATATGAAACAGCAGAAAATTCTGAAAATTGTTTACCTACATTCCTTCAAACATAAGGTATCCAATTATTGAAAAAATATTAAATATTACATTTACTACCTGTTATGATCCCTTGAGGAGATGAACAGAGCACTTAAATACATTAAAGCAGTATGTTTTCTGTAGTAAATATGACTAATCGAAGCAGATTTAGCTATTGCAGGTTGAAAAATGGTGTAACATAAACATTGCTGAAGGGACACGTTTATCATAAGTTACACCTCCTGATTTATTCATTTGTTAGGTTGGTGGAAAACCTGATGTAAAAGTGGGAACCTACTTAAGCTAGCCACTGTTTTCATGTTGAAAATTACTAAAATAAGAGCTGAAAGTATCTTCTTCTTGGATTTCATGAAATAGGCCTAGGTCTTGGTTTCACTTTTACTTCGAAGGTGAGCCTTGGTTTAAAAAAAAACGACACTAACATTGAGCACAAACTTTTTATTTTTTATCTCCGAATTAAGTAGCTTACGTTAGGATGTGATGTGTTTCTTTATTAGAAGAGCACTTAAACAACAAATGAAAGTCGGATATCTTTCTTCCTCTCTGTTTAGCTGCTGGATAACATGGAAAGCAAGATGAACGGAACCTGTGTGGAAGGGACCATCCCTCGACTGTTTGAAGGAAAAATGATTGTAGGTCATTGTTTATTAACTGTTAATGAGAGTTGGTATCAACTAGATAGTGATTATATTTATTTATTTCTGTAATAACATTTGCCCCACCCTGATGGACATATAATTTTTACTTGCATCTTACAGACCACATTGGTGGACTTGTAATTTCTACTTAACATCCTACAGAATATCTTGACGGACTCGTACTTTCTACTTAAAATCCTACATAATATCTGATTAATTTGTATCTATATGTGAAACCCTCTCTAATTTTATGTGCGTGAATGTCAAATCCCGTAGAAAATGGCATTTACTTTTCAACAAGTACCGAAACATTCTTAAGGCTGTGGGAGTTATTTTTAACATGACTCAGGCCTTAATGAGTGGAACATCTCCAAAATATGAAAATAAACTAGATGTAACTTGAACAGTTACATGTAAGTGGGCAAGTATTTTACGCATGTATTTTCCTTGTAAAAATAGATTTATAGTTGTGATCTGAGTCAAAAGATAGAGTGTATTTTTTCCCACTGTGAGAACTTTATATAGTTGGGCATGACTAATAAACACGTCGTGACTCGAGTCAAAAGATAGTGTTTTTCCCGCTTTTAACGAACTTTATGTAGTTGGGCATGACTAATAAACGATGTTGTGACTCGAGTCAAAAGATAGTGTTTTCCCGCTTTAAGCGAACTTTATGTAGTTGGGCATGACTAATAAACATGTTGTGACTCGAGTCAAAAGATAGTGTTTTCCCGCTTTAAGCGAACTTTATGTAGTTGGGCAT